TTGTATCACCAGATTGCTTGCTTCCATGCTTTTTGGGGTTTCTTTTAGCCAGTTTTCTTTGTTTTCTTGTACTAGTGATGTATATATTTGGCTATAAAGAATTCTTGGAAGGAGCCCTGAGCTATGGAGAAGACTGGGCACTGCGTGTAATATGGGTTACGAAAGGTTTACTGCAGAAGGCTGTGCATGTGAATCCACGATTGGCAAGGTAGCACCAACAACGCTAAGGTGGCATTGGGATCTTAATTAGAAGGACAGCCGTATGCGGTATTTCCAGAAGTAGTGAGAGAAGCGGTGAACATAGTAAGGAGCTGTGGTAAAAGGATGACTTTACCAAATATAAAACATCTCTAGTACAAGAAAACAAAGAAAACTGGCTAAAAGAAACCCCAAAAAGCATGGAAGCAAGCAATCTGGTGATACAAAAATAAAGACAGGCTAGGGAGTAATAGTTGCACAACCTATATGGAAGTCTATGACAAAATATGGCAGAAGCACAAGTCCTGGGTCACTGACTTGTAACAGTGATTAAATGAAGTACACAACTCTCGTTCTAAGGATCTAGACTTCCATAACACCATACTAATAGGGAGTACTATAAAAGGATTGGTAGCCTAATTCGGTGGTGTACGACACAAATACCTGGATTAATGTGAAATATCATCCTAGTTTGGCAACTTAACTGTTTGAAATACGGCTAGACCCATAAAGTAACTCCTCTAGGAACACCAAACTGGAAACATGAAGAGCACCTACTCGAAGGACACCAATTTTGAAAGTAATACAAGTACTGAATTAGAAATAATGTGATAAGTGATGAGGGATGGAAGTTGGTTGGTGGACGTTGTACAGTAGTATATAAGCAGGATATATATGATAAAAAATAGGTTTGGAAACCATCCAGTAATTTAGTAATTGGTCTGGTTGCAGGGCGGTTATTAAGGAGGTAAAATCTCATATAGCAGGTCACACATAGGTACTAAGTTAGTAACCGGGTGAGCCAATATCTCGTAATACATTAGAGTGTTGTAATTGTACATGTGATATTTGTAACCAAATACCTTAGCATACTAATAAATAGTATTGGCAAGACTGCCAAATTTAAAAAAAAAAAATACTACTTTAATAGAGGCTTGAGTTTATTTTTATATGTTTTTTTTAAAACTTAAATAGTCTTGCCAAATCTTTTATTAATAGAATTGTAAATGAAGATTTTAAATATTCTAAATATATTCAAGTACAAATTGCTATACTAGTTTTAATAAAAACTAATAGGCTGTATCAGATAGTCTAAGTATTCTTTTCTTTAAATTTTTTCTTTTTCTTATAAAGTTTATTAATAAAAAAAAACATAAAAGATTATTAAAGAATAATTTAAAAAAGTAAAATAGAAAAGAAATATAATTACAAACAAAATCCAACAATCTAAAAAAAATCCAGTAGATAAATAATACACTATTATAACTTGAACAAGACTAAAAAATTATATATTAACTGCAATATTAATCTATCTCTATTGTAAAATCTTCTTTTCAACTACAGTATATGTGACATGTGTTTTGATGATTTTTGACCATGGTATTTGCAAGAACCTATGTTACAGTTATTTTACATTTAAAAAAATTTGTATTACTAGCCAAGTACAAAACTATTCCCCCAAAGGGGCAAAACAAAGAAGCAAAAATTATAACGATGTTAATTATACTTGCTTTAATAATGTAAATTACTCACTATTTGAAGCTATTAGTTTTGTAACTCGCAATTTACAAAACTTATCAATGAACTAATTGCCGTGAATTACTCGAATAAAACTCGAATAAGTAATCAATCGAATGATTCAAGCGTTCTTCTGAGTTTAATCAGCGAAATCATCACTAATCGTCACCCAAAAAAAATCTCAGATCATATCGATATGATTTAATTATTAATAAGCATCGTATAATTGATAATGTGATTTGATCCTGGTTAGTTGATTTATTAAACCTCAATTCGGGCAAATCTATTATCTATCTACGGAGCTCTAAATGCTCGGAAATCATGAAACGCGAAAAAATTTGAACTTTGGCCAGCATTACGAAATTAACTTATAATTTAGGCAATGTCACATGACTAGTAATGTCCCAAAAATTTGGAAAAATTTATTTCCAAATTTTCTAACTTATACGGATGATTCCCAAATTCCGAAAAAAGATGCTGGTGAGTTAAAATTATTAGAGTTGAATGGTGAAATTAATTTGATCAACATTTCTAATTCCGGCTAGGTAAATTTTTTCGGTCATCGAAAAACAGCAGTAAAGGATTTACACCGGCGCCTAGGTATGATAAATCATACTATAAATCATACTTAGATACCGGGCATATAATAACCATATTAAAAAATATATTCATATTAATACGGTGTACCCACTACTCAAGTACCCTGGGATTAAACGAACTTAGGGGATACCCGGTACATATGTCGGTACTGTACATTCCTTAAAAACCTAACGCTCTAAGTACATTTAAAGATCAACCATAATAGAGGGAACAAACATAGTGAAACACGTATTCGTAATCAACTGAATAAATTTTGTTCTGTATATAACCAGGAAATTTTATAATTTATATGATCGGTAATTTCTATATTTAGAAAACGAATACAATTGCCAACCGGGGTTAATCTCTACTGCTAATTGACTTTGTCATGTGAAACGAAACTATACGTACCAATTTGTTGTTTCCTAGATTCTACGAATAATAAATCATAAATTCTATTTTAATGCATATACCCATAATAATCCGTTTTTAGTCTCGATATTCTATTCTACGTCAAATTTCACTAGAGATATACAGACTATACTACGCTTCGATAAATTTCTCGGGAATAATAATGTAATAATAATGATAATAATAATTGAATTAAAATCACTTCCAAACCGGTAATTTAAACATGTGTAGCAATGTAAAATTTTCCATCACTATGAGTCCAAGAAACCCAATTCTCTTTATATCTAAATTGCTTAATATTAGAGAACACGCGTTCACTTTGTTTTCCACGAGGTTCAAATCCCTCGAAAGACTCTAAAGATACGACCTTGGCACCTTTTTTTAAACCAAGAAAAAGGTTGTATAAAAATTGGTTTGTCTCTGGTGAAAAGGTCCGGTTATTGGCCAAAATAACATCCGCAGAGTATAAAATATTAATAAAATTTGGATGATTGATATAAATATCTCTGAAGTCACCCGATAAAAATTCAACTCGTCCTATTTCTAGTCCATATAATTTTCCTCGGGTCTTAATTTCTTCATACTGTTCGTTGGCAAGGTCAACAAGTTTTTGCCGCAACTCATAGCCGTATCCCATGCATCCAGTGGCAATGCTCGCATACAAAATTGTGTTTCCTATGCCACTACCCAAATCAACAAAAATTGTGTTACTTTTAATTTTTGTCCTAATGATAATGTCATGTATAAAATCTGCATTAAGTTCACCATAATTTAAGTCAAGGTTAGAAGTAATATTGGTGAGTCGCTCCACGCGAGGACCGATTATTCGGTCGTAAGTTTGCTCTATTACGTGATTTACTATTTGAATATATCGAGGCTCGGCAGTGTTTCTTTCAGTAATATATTTCGGCCATAATTTACTCGAATTTTTGCGAATGTCCATAATCATTTTGTTGTATCTTTGTATACCATCTTGCAATTCGTCGAGTAGACGGTTTTTGATTGAATTGTTTATTTCAAATTGTACTGATTTCTGATTTAGAGAAGTTTTAAATATTTCAGCTATATCATCTGCTAATACGTGATCAATTATTAAGTTAACTGTAGATTTCAAATCTTTCATTGGAAGATATTCGTTATCTTTGTCTTTGTTTTGAGAAAGTGTAGCAAGTGCAAATGATTCAAATCCCTCCCATCCCGGGTACATCAAACTTATTTCACTAATCCCATCGTGATCATCAGTGAAATGTTTTGTGTAAAATCCCACCTCTCGACAATTCATAGATTCTACAATTTCCCGCGAATGTCGAATGAGATTAGTTGTCCCTTTTCCTTTTTCTTTGACCGGGAGTACATGACAAGCTTTGTCACTCAAAGATTCCAGCTCACCTTTGCAATGCTTGTCTGAAGCTTTTTTAGGTTTTTTGGAGAAAATGCGAACATCTGTGTCATTACGATCTCTTTTAACGTCTCCTTGCTCCGGCTCTATATGTCGTTTTTCATTCAATTTATTTCGTTTTTTCCGAAGCTCATCCAAAATTTCTTTTTGCCTTAATTTATTTACTTGTTGTCTTCTATTTGGGCGATCCATTGATATACGGTTAAAAATCGTATGAAAGATTAAATTATGGATACTTTTGAATATGGTTGACTGCTTGCATTTTGATTTATAAGGTGCTGTGCTGTGTTCGTGTGACGTCATATAAACAATAATAACGCAAGGGTCGTGGGACATTAAGGTGTGATACTAAATCATCACTTATAAATGTGATGATTTAGTATCACACCTCGAGCTAGCCTGAACTGTTGCGTGCGTAAAATAATCTGGCATGCGTCAGATAATATTTGGATTTGAGTGAAAGTCTATGTTAAGATAGCACAAAGAAAAATAGAAAATCTGGGTCAGGTTATTGCATAATTAAATTGCTATAAAAAAGGCTGTTCGGATTTTCAATTATTTTGTGTACAGTTGGCCGTCTATGGAAAATTTATCATCATGATAGACTTTCCATAGACGGCTAACAATATAATTGAAAGTCTGAACGTTTATTAATCTGAAATTTCAAGTTATTTAGTATTGAAACGTTTATAAAAGATGCGATAGAAAATCCATAAAAACTTCGTTGAAAATTCTATAAGCAATTCACAATATACCAACATGAACTTTACGATTCTGTAATAGGATATTCCAGTTCAATACTTCTGTATAATGAATAAAAAGAAATTGTTATTCGTAGTTATTAAAAAACGAATGTCCGTTAAAACTTGCATTTCAAAGTAATTTTAATACAGTAATATTATCGCGATATTGGGCCGGATTTTCTATGTGCGTTAAGGTAGAAGTCTGAAGATTGTTTGTTTACCAAAATTTTCTGTTGTCTAACCGTCTAGCTATATTGACTATTTAATCTAGCCGTCACTAATATAATTTTTGATATATTTGGTTTAATTTAATATTATAGCTGCTATATATAATACAGTATTAATATGATTTTTTTTTGGTATTGAGGTCTGTTCTTTGGTTTTTATTAATTAGATAATTTACGGATATATTATATAAGGGTTTTTCTATATATCTCTGGCCAGAGATATATAGATTATATATCTCTGGCCTATTAGCCAATGAAAATGGCGAAAAG